TCGTTATATCGTAAAACAATTAACCTGCAACTTCATGAGAGAAAATGTATGCGGCCCGTCGTTAAGATAAGAAGTTTCTCTCCAGCAAAGGTTACTCATCACTACTGTAGACAATCTTTGAATCCATTTGTATTTTATATATAGAAGGAATGTGTTTTATTGATGTAGGCCTAAATATGATCATACCTTAATCCATGTAATTGTATTTTAAACGATGCAAAGAACGAAAAACTTATTTGAATTAAATCTTAATTCTTACACATATAATTTCTTTCTTGTATTCATAAAATTAATAAATCATTTCTATATTTTTATTTAAGATAGGAAAAATCGGAGATGATCCTTTCAAAAACGATCTAGTAATTGCTGAATATACAAGCTCTCAGTTATTCAGGTCACTTCGAAAGAAGCCTAAGATGACGGAGTAAGTACAGTATTTTAGTTATAAATATTTATAAGTTCTAATTTCATTTAAAATTATTTTTAATTCTAGTTGGTCAGTAATGCCTCTAACAGTAAATGCTGCTTATGATCAAAATCAAAATTCTATCAGTAAGTATTAATTGAAAAATATATAGATGTTATATAGAGTTGTATTTAATAAACGAATTCGTTTCCCAGCTGTTCCATTAGGAATTTTACAAATTCCTTTCTATAACAGGAAATTGCCAAAGTGAGTCGTTTAATATAATTTTAATTTAAGTATAAAGATAATTTCTGGATAAAAAATGTATTTCCAGGTATTTAAATTATGCGGCGATAGGTGCAATTATTGGGCATGAAATGACACATGGATTTGATACTAAAGGTAGACGTACCTGTACTTTTTAAAATGTATACTGTACAAAATTTAATTAATTCTTCTAATAAATTCATATTACAAATTTAGGAAGAGAAAGAAATGCAGAAGGAATTAATATTAACTGGTGGTCAAATAAATCTAGAGAGGAATTTACTAAAAGAACCCAATGTTTTATTGAACAATATAATTCCTACGGAGTAAGAAAATTTTTCGGGTTTTACATTAAATAATTAAATTTAATTATTTAATATTTTAATTATTTGACTTTTTCAGATTAACGGAATACAAACTTTAGCTGAGAACATTGCTGATAATGGTGGAATTAAATTAGCTTATTCGGTAATAACAGTTTTTATTTAAAAATGATTCAATATTTATTCAAAACTTATGATTAACGAGCAATTATTTATTGTGACATCACAATCGTCACAATGCTCTCAATTTTAGTAGTGTTTTGCCCCTGTACTGTACATCAAACTTTTCCTGTTAACAATAAGGTCATCCCTGTCATCTGTCTAACTTTGTTCAGGAGAAAATTTTTGAATTGAAATAGCATGACTTCCGATGAAAATTGGACGTTAACTATTAAAAATCACTTTTTTATATTCCATGATATAATAAGATTATAATATGCATAAGACATAAAATTATTTATTAAAATATGTTTGAAATTTAATTAGAATCTTTCGTATTTAAAAAAAAAATAATTATGTTTTTCTTTTTAAATAAATATTTCCTTCAAAGGCATACAAGAAATTAAATGATAATCAAGAACCGTTAAAAGTTTTGCCGAATTTTCAAACTTATACTTCGGATCAGCTATTTTTCTTGTCATATGGCTCGGTAAGTTAGATTATTATCTATTTCAAGTTTATTTAATACTTTGAACATTAAATACAGTTAAATTTTCAATACATAAAAAAAACATCTTTATTTTTAGATGTGGTGTACTCAGTATAATCAAATTGGTTGGAATCTTATAAACAAATTAGATCACAGTCCTTCAATTTATAGGTATTTTTAATAAATTAAAACACATTTACACTTATTTGATGTATTATTTATTTGTAATTTATTTATTTAATTATACAATTGAAAACACTTGTTACGTTTTCAAATGCTATTTTGTACGTATGATAAAAATTGAAATATTTATAAATGTTTGCAGAGTTATGGGCTCTTTATCTAATATGAAGGAGTTTTCAGAAGCTTTTAAATGTAAAAAGAATGACAAAATGAATAGCAGGAAGAAATGCTCAATATGGTGATTTTCGTTATCTTCGATATTTTTTTTTCTCTTGAAAGACAGAATCGGTTTATCTTTTTATGCTTTTATTGTGAGATAAAAGGAATATTTTGTTCAATGTTATTTTCATATGAAAAATATTTATAAGGAGAGAATTCATACGTTTTTCTTGTTAGNTTTTATATTTTTGGACTCGGGATCTTGAAACGTCAAGAAATGCAAAATAATAATAATAATAATTATAATATAATAAAATAATATACTGATGGTTTTTTTCTATGTATTGTGCGTGTGTGGGAATGGCACGAACAAAATCGTGCCACCCATACATATGCATTTATACATACACCGTTTCGACGCTTAATAACTCCTGTGCCTTTTGTTGAAAATTTCTGAAATTTTGCAGGGAGGTTTGTGTATTAGCGGCATTGTTACTATTAAATTTTAATAGTTAAAGGTCGAAGGGTGGAGAGATAAAGAGGATCGTGTGTATCTCCAGTAGGGTCGGACATCGTGACGATTTTACTCGTTATTAGCATTTACAATTTTTTTATAAAGTCCATTCCTACCCTCAAAATTAAGCTTTTTGCCATTTTATAATAATTAAAAATATAAAAAGTTTTAAATGTTGCTGGGAAAGTTAAGCAACTCATCTAGATTTTTTTATGTATTTGATTTAGTTTTTCTTAAAATTTTTGGAAAGACTGAGACTTTACAGTTCTTCTATTCAAGTAATCCCTGACTTCAACAAACAATTGAATCTTTATTGTTCCATCATTCTGATCAATGAATTCTCAATTTTAGATACTATATTAATCATTATTTACATATTAATCTATACTTCAATGCATTTATTTCTAATATCTCAGATAATTTTTCTGTTATAGAATAATTATCTAATTTATGTAATATTACTTTGTATTGTAAAATATAAGAAACAATCATTTCTAATAAAATATTATATAATAAATAGACTATTTTAATCATTTATAATAAAATAAAAATAAATTTCATTCTGTTTCAGACAGATTGCTAACTATTTAGGATGGAGAATCATGGAAAAGCAATACAATCATTTGCCTGAAGTATTTAAGGAGGAAATGTTAAGATATAAAAATATTTCGAGCAATCTTGCTTTGCAACGATGGAAAATATGTGTCACTTTAACCAATATTGCCTTTGGTTATGCAGTCGCACATTCATATATTTCACATTTCTTTTCGGATATTTCAAAATGTGATGTATGTATTTTTTCGATTATTTAAAAAAATATGCATTATTATTAATATAACTTATAATTTTAAAATATTTGTAAGGTGGCAATTTTTTTTAAATATTGTTATATAAAAATATCCCATATCTGGTACCATTTATGAAATGATCGTGAGACGTCTAGAGCATATGATACTTCCTAACTTTAGTGACCACATCATTTTCTACAATAGATATGTTAATGATATTTTGATTATCTGGAAGGGTAACCCACCACTGTAAAACTTCCTTGGCTGATTTAATAACATAACTCACACCAGGTCCACTTTCTAGGCATACTCATTAGATTAGATAATGGACGTCTAGCAATCAAGGTATACTGTAAAGATGCATATTCGCCTCAGTTTATTCTTTATCTTTTATATGATCACTGAACTTACAAGACCACTGCTTTTTAGTCTTTGGTGAAGAGGGCCTTTATATACTCCTCAATACTCAAGGACAGGATTGAGGAATTACATTACATCGCAACACTCACAGTACAACATGAATATCATAGAGGCCTTGTTATGATCTTCGCATAGCAACTACAATGCACCACAACCCCATGTCAACAATGGGAGAAGAGATTTATACCTGAAGTATTAGCCGGCACATTTGAAAAAGTTGCTAGGACCTCTAAAATTAGGAGAATGACTGACAGGAATCGTCCTACCATCTTCTCTTTGTTAAGGAACAACAATGTGTGGAAGGTTACTACTCTCTGGAAATATATGCTATTCCCCGACATGATCCGAGGATAGACCGTTTGTTAATATACATTAGAGTGACCATTCGCATCAAAGAACATACAGTAAATGTAACCTTACAAAAAAGATAAAATATAACATTGCTCTGGCCATATACGCAAGTGATGAGGATGTTTCGATCGCTTATGATGATATCAGACTGCTACATTGCACAGCAGATTCGACATGTTTAAAATACTTGGAGTCCCTATGAATTTATAAGGCCACAAAAAATCGGACTGCCATCAACTTCAAGGAATCGGACGATCAATGGCGTGGAGAGCATGGTTCGAACTATAGTAAATCACTTCACGTGTGTTCTCAAGTTTATTAATCAAAATATTCTTTTTTTATTAATTACAGTAGACACCCCTATAACACTGTAGATACGTTCCGTGTTTTATGAAATTCATGTTGTACAAGTCCTCAAATACATGATCCAATCACAGCCCGGCACGTATGCAGTTTACGGACTACGGCTGTTTGAAAGTTTTCTTCCATAAAATTAATCGATTCTAGACTAATTTGACTCAACATTTCCAAAACACTGTAATTTTTTGGGAATAATCCATATAAACTATGCTATAAACAAAAAAATTGTAGGATTACTTACCGAGTGTGCATTGTTCGACGAAGCCATTGCTTAAGTTTGTTTTCATCGCGGAGCGGCGCATCGAACGACGGGCGCGTGTTTCCTAATAAATTATTTTTCTGCGAAAAATTCGCTAAACTTTGGAGACATCATTAATATAAATATAATTTTTATGGCCGTTAAATAATAAATGGTTTTTAGTAGGTCCGCTGCTCGTTTAAACTCAACGGTTTGTGCAATATCCGCTATTGGTCTAGATTCGACCAATCCTGTCGCGACACGAGTCGGCGATGACGTTTTACTGAATTATACGAGTCTCTTTTACCGTGTTTATACGAATACGATCGCAATTTTTTCGCCGTTATATACGAATCCGTATTATATGAAAGTTTTATAGGGGGTTTACTGTATATAACTTTTTTCTTTATGATATATATTCTCTGCCTAGGGCGCACGCCCCAACTTCGCCCGTATAAACATTCAATTTGATTTTGTATTCTATTTGGTATTCTGTTCTTTAATAGACTTATGTAACCTGAAGATGTCCGATTGATACGGACGTAAATGTTCTTTATATTAAATATTTTTGGTGTTTGTTAAACTGGTTTGGTGTAACTTGCTGATGTATTTTTAGTTATATAAAAATATATTGTGAAACACAATAAAAATATGCAGAAAATACTTTTTATGACTTTTTGATCTTTTCTGCCCTGTAGGTCTAACTCGTAAGAGGGCCTTTTTTTTTTTATTCATATCCATCATGGATCTGCCTAGCCCATAATAGAGGCGTCCGGGTGATATTAACAACACATTAATTAAAGAAGATGTACAGTACAGTACATCTCAGATGGGATTGGATTGATGAAATATGCCAACGCAACAGGAGGGCGATCTTCAAAAAAGCTGCTTTCCGGGAGGGATTTATATGGAAAACTAGTCTCTTTTTAGATCAGGGGTCTCAAACTGGTGGCCCGTTAAGCCTTCCGGGCCGCATCTTTGATGATCTCTTCTTAAAATCAGTATTTCTAATACAGTATTTTGCAGGAATTAAAACAAAAAAAAAAAAAGAAGAAAATTCAAACGTCTGTTTACGTAAGTTGTAAAGGACTGGCAACAAAAGGGCCTTTATTAGAGTCTTTTTAAATTACAGTATGTTTTGGTTTACCAAATAATATTGAATACGGCCCGTGTCTGATATACATCTATTTCACTGGTCTTTTGCTGGGTTTGAATTTGAGACTGCTGATTTAGATGTTAGACACGCGAAGAAAATCCAGAAATCTACATTTCGGAGTTAATTAAAACAATAAAGAAGTTCTAATCTGGTCACATTTTGATTGTGGTATGATAAATCCTCATTAATAGCCAAATTGGCATCTATATTGATAGAAGAGAAAAATCCAGAAAAGTCCATGCAATCAGACCGTAGTCAGATGCAAACCCAGCACCACAATTGTTTTCATCTTAGAAAATGAATTTGAAAAACTTTTTATTATAGATTCTGTTGAAGTACGTGTACTTTACAAACAAATAATTCTATTTAGATTGTTATGTATTAATTATATATTAAATTATATATATAGGCCTACAGTATATTAATTTTAATTAAGAAATAATAGAATAAATTCAACTCGGACAACAATATCGACTTAAGCTTTATATAATTATTTCTACAGAAAGCTTAAATTTAATTATCTAAATCTTACTTTTATTTCATTTCACACATCTCTAAATAAATCTAATGTTAGTAAGTTAAATATTTATTTTTTAATAAAAGGTAAATATGACTAAAACTAGTTTTCTGAATTAAACTGTTTCATTAATTAAAGAAATAAATTTACTGCTAATCTCGCTAAAGATTTTATGAGAATTAATAATTAAATTTTAAAATGTTTACAAAAATTTTACTATTTTAAAATAATTATTAAAATTAAAAATATTTTTTATATTTTCAGATTAAAGAAATGGTTGATGAAATTAAATTTACTTTTAAAAACGTTATTGAAAATACAAAATGGATGGACAATGAAACAAAAAATGAAGCAATAAAAAAGGTAATTTCTTTGGTATCTAATGGAAAATTTTCTTTTTTAAAGATTATTATTATTTCCAACATGTTTTATTTTCTTTATTTGTCATAATGTAAATATCAAAATACATTTTTTTTTCTAATTACTGTATTACTTGAAGTATTTTCATCAGTTAGATTGAAAATTGATCATAGACATGCAGCTCTCTAGACCATTTTGAATTGAAGTCAAAATATTATTAATATTGTATTTCCAAATATTTTATAAACATAAAATAATTTTGACGTTAATATAAAAATTTTATATTTAAACTTTCTATAGATTCGGATAATCAAATGTATAAATAAATAAATAAATTTGTATCATTTCCATCTCTGATTTCATCTCAGATCTCACAGAGCGGTGGGATGACGATCTAATCATTACGGTTATCCGGCCGACACACCGTGAATACTATTGATATATTGATATAATCGTCTTATCTAGTAATTTTTAATATATTTAAAATTATATTTACAAAAATTATGTTTATAAATTTATTCATATTTAAATGTAATCTTGAAATTAAACAATCAAATTTTTGAAGTATAAAGATATATTAATTATATTTCAGATAGAATTCATGAGCGATAACGTTGGATACCCCGATTGGATTATGGATAAAAGACGGTTAAACGAATTCTATGAAAATGTAAGAAAATTATTTTTTTAAATTTGATTAAATTAATAAGATAGAAATAGAAATTAGTTTATTAAAATTAATAAAAAACGAAATCAAATTGTCCTTAATTATTTTAATATTAATAGGCATAGGCCTTATTAGTGATGAGAAATCTTTTTTGGATGCGGACCGGAAGGGAACTTTGTAGGCTTCCGGCGTGCCACGTACTGTACGTGCCAACGTTTCTTTTTTTTTCTTACGGAGTTGCAAGTTTTAAGCGTGCAAAGCATCAACATACACCATAAATACCAATTCTAGAAACTAAAATAATATATGCTAATGACATGCAAATTAGTAATATATAGTTTAATTTCATAAACTGTGTACTGTAAGCCACACTGAAGAGGCCTTTGGCGAAATGCATTTGGGAAGCTTGTTCGTAATGTAAATAAAAGTTTTTTCTCTGCAAATTATTTTCTTTCTTTTTATACCCTTTTTAAATTTTTTGAGAAATTTTATAGTTATTATTGGCTTAATGTTTTAAAAATTGAAGTTATATATTATCCAAAAAGTCAGAAGAGAAAGAAAAATATAATTTTTTCGTATTTTACATTTATGTAAGAAGGAAACAAAAGGGAAAATTTCTGACTCCATCGGTTTTTATAATTATTTTGGAATATACTAGTTTTTTCACTTGTCAAGTTTAGTTTGGATGTTCTTCGTCATGAATATCAACTCAAATTGGGTTGCACAATGGCACGAGACAGAAAACAGGAAAATAAAATTACATTGCCGATGCTCCCGGTGTTCGACAATATAATGTATTTATTGTTACAGTAATGCCTAATATGTCATTTTGAGCAGTCATGAGCAACCCTAGTCCCGAGCTGCCATGCAGCCCAGGTGCTGGATTTTCTCATGATTTTTCTAAATTAATAAATCAATAATAAAGTAAGTAATCCATTACCATTACTGCCAATGAGAATGCCAACGTTGTTAACGCAAATAATATAGCCTATTTATATTTTTCTTTTTTATAGAAGATCTGTAATTAATTTTTGTGTGTAATTTTTTTCGAACAATTGATAATGAATTGAAACTTGCCATTATTTTTTAAAATATTAATTCGATTGTTAAATATATTTTTTCACTCTTTATCTTTTAACGTAAACGTTTAGAATATCCTTCTCTTCTATCCGTAATTAATAAAAGATCTTTCTATTTAGATATTTTCTATGGCATGAAACATAAAAAATAAATTTTGTTTAAAATAATTAATTAATGTAATGGATTTTATTTTTCTCTTTAGTAATATTTTATAAATGAATGTTACATCTACTAATTGTTTGCTAATCTACTATATATATTTATTTATTTATTATAAATATAAATATATTTATTTATTTATTTATTGTTCTGAAATCTGAAAGTTGTTCTGTACAATTTTTATGGGGAAAATATGAAAGGAAAATTTTTAATGTGATTTGAATAAAAATTTACTGTATTTTTCTAATTAATTTGAGTGTGGAAGGGCATTTCGAAACGGACCCGAACTTACTTTACATTACGAAACCCTCGCTCAGAATTAGACAGATGAATGTATACATATTGAAATTTTACACATATATATAACAAAAACAGATTTAAAAAAAACTATCTTTTTTATCTGTTAAAAATAGTAAAGTCGAGCGAGAAATGATATTTATTGTTTCTTCTCAATAAAAAATCTATCATCGTCTCATTTATAATAGATTGTTTTCTCATCGTAAATACTATTATTTTATTCTATAGACCAGTCATGAGCAACCCGCAGTTCTAGGGCTGCCAACGTAATTTTATTTTCCTGTTTTCTATCTCGTGCCGTTATGCAAATTGGAATATGTTATTTAGTAGCCTCCTTAGTGTATTGGCGGTTATGGTACTGTAAATGTTGATGCTCGACAGACTTAAAACCTGCAACTTCATGAGAGAAAATGTATGCGGCCCGTCGTTAAGATAAGAAGTTTCTCTCCAGGAAAGGTTACTCATCACTACTGTAGACAATCTTTGAATCCATTTGTATTTTATATATAGAAGGAATGTGTTTTATTGATGTAGGCCTAAATATGATCATACCTTAATCCATGTAATTGTATTTTAAACGATGCAAAGAACGAAAAACTTATTTGAATTAAATCTTAATTCTTACACATATAATTTCTTTCTTGTATTCATAAAATTAATAAATCATTTCTATATTTTTATTTAAGATAGGAAAAATCGGAGATGATCCTTTCAAAAACGATCTAGTAATTGCTGAATATACAAGCTCTCAGTTATTCAGGTCACTTCGAAAGAAGCCTAAGATGACGGAGTAAGTACAGTATTTTAGTTATAAATATTTATAAGTTCTAATTTCATTTAAAATTATTTTTAATTCTAGTTGGTCAGTAATGCCTCTAACAGTAAATGCTGCTTATGATCAAAATCAAAATTCTATCAGTAAGTATTAATTGAAAAATATATAGATGTTATATAGAGTTGTATTTAATAAACGAATTCGTTTCCCAGCTGTTCCATTAGGAATTTTACAAATTCCTTTCTATAACAGGAAATTGCCAAAGTGAGTCGTTTAATATAATTTTAATTTAAGTATAAAGATAATTTCTGGATAAAAAATGTATTTCCAGGTATTTAAATTATGCGGCGATAGGTGCAATTATTGGGCATGAAATGACACATGGATTTGATACTAAAGGTAGACGTACCTGTACTTTTTAAAATGTATACTGTACAAAATTTAATTAATTCTTCTAATAAATTCATATTACAAATTTAGGAAGAGAAAGAAATGCAGAAGGAATTAATATTAACTGGTGGTCAAATAAATCTAGAGAGGAATTTACTAAAAGAACCCAATGTTTTATTGAACAATATAATTCCTACGGAGTAAGAAAATTTTTCGGGTTTTACATTAAATAATTAAATTTAATTATTTAATATTTTAATTATTTGACTTTTTCAGATTAACGGAATACAAACTTTAGCTGAGAACATTGCTGATAATGGTGGAATTAAATTAGCTTATTCGGTAATAACAGTTTTTATTTAAAAATGATTCAATATTTATTCAAAACTTATGATTAACGAGCAATTATTTATTGTGACATCACAATCGTCACAATGCTCTCAATTTTAGTAGTGTTTTGCCCCTGTACTGTACATCAAACTTTTCCTGTTAACAATAAGGTCATCCCTGTCATCTGTCTAACTTTGTTCAGGAGAAAATTTTTGAATTGAAATAGCATGACTTCCGATGAAAATTGGACGTTAACTATTAAAAATCACTTTTTTATATTCCATGATATAATAAGATTATAATATGCATAAGACATAAAATTATTTATTAAAATATGTTTGAAATTTAATTAGAATCTTTCGTATTTAAAAAAAAAATAATTATGTTTTTCTTTTTAAATAAATATTTCCTTCAAAGGCATACAAGAAATTAAATGATAATCAAGAACCGTTAAAAGTTTTGCCGAATTTTCAAACTTATACTTCGGATCAGCTATTTTTCTTGTCATATGGCTCGGTAAGTTAGATTATTATCTATTTCAAGTTTATTTAATACTTTGAACATTAAATACAGTTAAATTTTCAATACATAAAAAAAACATCTTTATTTTTAGATGTGGTGTACTCAGTATAATCAAATTGGTTGGAATCTTATAAACAAATTAGATCACAGTCCTTCAATTTATAGGTATTTTTAATAAATTAAAACACATTTACACTTATTTGATGTATTATTTATTTGTAATTTATTTATTTAATTATACAATCGAAAACACTTGTTACGTTTTCAAATGCTATTTTGTACGTATGATAAAAATTGAAATATTTATAAATGTTTGCAGAGTTATGGGCTCTTTATCTAATATGAAGGAGTTTTCAGAAGCTTTTAAATGTAAAAAGAATGACAAAATGAATAGCAGGAAGAAATGCTCAATATGGTGATTTTCGTTATCTTCGATATTTTTTTTCTCTTGAAAGACAGAATCGGTTTATCTTTTTATGCTTTTATTGTGAGATAAAAGGAATATTTTGTTCAATGTTATTTTCATATGAAAAATATTTATAAGGAGAGAATTCATACGTTTTTCTTGTTAGCTAACATATATATATTTTTTTCATTTATTGTATATATTTGTTGTTATAAGCAAAATATTCCTATTTATCCAACTAAATATAAATTACATTTAAATAATAATTTATGCGTTATACAGTATAAAACTTGTTGGATACTTATTTGTTTAAGTATTTTATTTCTCAAAGAACATTTATGTAATATAAAGTACTGTATTTATAAATTTTAAAAAGTTTTTAAATTTAACAATTGTTTAAATCGTTAGTAAATTAAATAAAAATAAATTATTTTAAAATAGAATTAAAATAAATCATTATTTTTTTAAAAAAGCCAATTTTGTTTTTGATTTTCTTTTAATAAAACAATTATGCCTTTATTATAATTAGGATGTTTATTTTTTAAAAACATAATAAACTTCGTATAATTAAAATATTACAATAAAAAAATATCAATATGTGTCATTTGCATAAAATATTAGATTGATTGAGTTAAGTAATTTATTTTCATGACTGACAAATCTTTGTTTAGATGTTTAAAAGATGCACGTCAAGAAAGATGTAATTGTTTCTTATTTGTTCGTAGCAATTAACAATGCATAAAATACAGTTTTTTTTTTGCCCTTTGCATTACTAATGGAAAATTTATTTTAATAATGAATTGCAAAGAATTTAATGAAAGCACATCATAAAACACACTGCAATGTAAATTAATTTTAAAGTAGACGATGAAAAAATTCCTTAAACTGAGTTGGTTGGTATAATGTTCTAGCACAATGGCTGATCCAAGTCAAAAGATGGTGGTTTGTTTTCCTCTATTAACGGCACTTTAGGAGTTTAGTTTGTATTATAATGGAAAAGCGATGATGATAACAAAATGTACGGTACGTTTTCAGCGAATGCATTGTAACTGTTATATATATATACAAATGAAACCTAAAATAAAATATCTTTATCTTCGTGAACGTTTATTATTTTATTTCTATAACATTTATGGTTATCCATTGTGTACTTAGATTCGCCTACATTTGTTTCTAAAATAAAGTATTGATTTTTGCCCTGTTGATAGTTGTAAATGTAAATTCTAAGTTTGATAAACGAATTCATGAAAGTTTTATAAGTTTTCGAAATAGCTATCTAAACCATTGTTTCTCAACGGGGGCGATATCGCCTCCATGTGGACGTTTTTCCATGTTGAGGGGGCGATTAGTAACAATTTATATTTTGGAGGGCGAAAAACAATTTTCTGGGCGATATAGTAAAACATTATATTAAGATTAATTAAATATTTTATTCGTTATATCGTAAAACAATTAAACAAATAACATTACACTAGTCACTAGTCTATTCAATGCAATTTGGCGTTAGCCTTGGCCCACTGCATCGGAATTTTGAAGTGAAGGGGGCGATACTACGTAACGGTTTTATTGAAGGGGGTGACGATTCGTTAAAGGTTGAGAAACACTGATCTAAAGTAATAATAGAGCTCTATATAAAACAAACCTTCTTAAACTATGTGTCATGACCCCATTTGGGATCGTGTAACACAGCGTTTCTCAACCTCTAACGAATTGTCTCCCCTTTAATAAAACCGTTACGTAGTATCATCCCCTTCACTTCGAAAAAATCCGATGCCGATCAAGCCTCAAAATTCCGATGCCGAGGGCCGAGGCTAACGCCGAAATTCGTATTGCATTGAATAGACTAGTGACTAGTGTAATGTTATTTGTTAAATTATTGTACGATATAACAAATAAAATATTTATTTATCTAATTATTTTTAATATAATGCTTTACTATATCGCCCAGAAAATTGTTTTTTGCACCCTAAAATATAAATTGTTACTAATCGCCCCCAACATGGAAAACCGCCCACATGAGGGCGATATCGCCCCCGTTGAGTAATGCTGGTGTAACAGAATTTGGGAGTCTCGAAAACATTGGCAACTGTTCATGAAAGATGTCATTTCAATACAATCTGTTGGGTTCTCCAATACTAGTTGGCGAAAATAATTACTAAAATAATTTTAATTTTATTATTTTGATTATGATTTTATTATAAATTATTTAGTTAAAATTAAAAGTCGTGGGAAAACATTACAGAAATAAAATTTAAAATCCGTTATGGATACATAACAGAGAAAAAGCGTTCGACATCTTTTCTCGCTGTGATTTGCTACTTTTCGATTAAATCTTCTCTCCCATTCAGTTTCATTTTACTATTTACTTTTCTTCAAACTTTAAATCGGGCATGCCATCATAACAGTGCTAGGTGACATTTGTTTTTAAAATTGCCTGGAAAGTTTAAATTCGAACATAATGTTTATGACTCATTAATAATACATTGGCCTTGAGAAATATTTCATTTTGTTTTAGTGACAAAGAATGCCATTGGTTAAATTTGCATCTTATTTCTCGATATAACCAATAGAAANAAAAAATTTTTTCTCTGCAAATTATTTTCTTTCTTTTTATACCCTTTTTAAATTTTTTGAGAAATTTTATAGTTATTATTGGCTTAATGTTTTAAAAATTGAAGTTATATATTATCCAAAAAGTCAGAAGAGAAAGAAAAATATAATTTTTTCGTATTTTACATTTATGTAAGAAGGAAACAAAAGGGAAAATTTCTGACTCCATCGGTTTTTATAATTATTTTGGAATATACTAGTTTTTTCACTTGTCAAGTTTAGTTTGGATGTTCTTCGTCATGAATATCAACTCAAATTGGGTTGCACAATGGCACGAGACAGAAAACAGGAAAATAAAATTACATTGCCGATGCTCCCGGTGTTCGACAATATAATGTATTTATTGTTACAGTAATGCCTAATATGTCATTTTGAGCAGTCATGAGCAACCCTAGTCCCGAGCTGCCATGCAGCCCAGGTGCTGGATTTTCTCATGATTTTTCTAAATTAATAAATCAATAATAAAGTAAGTAATCCATTACCATTACTGCCAATGAGAATGCCAACGTTGTTAACGCAAATAATATAGCCTATTTATATTTTTCTTTTTTATAGAAGATCTGTAATTAATTTTTGTGTGTAATTTTTTTCGAACAATTGATAATGAATTGAAACTTGCCATTATTTTTTAAAATATTAATTCGATTGTTAAATATATTTTTTCACTCTTTATCTTTTAACGTAAACGTTTAGAATATCCTTCTCTTCTATCCGTAATTAATAAAAGATCTTTCTATTTAGATATTTTCTATGGCATGAAACATAAAAAATAAATTTTGTTTAAAATAATTAATTAATGTAATGGATTTTATTTTTCTCTTTAGTAATATTTTATAAATGAATGTTACATCTACTAATTGTTTGCTAATCTACTATATATATTTATTTATTTATTATAAATATAAATATATTTATTTATTTATTTATTGTTCTGAAATCTGAAAGTTGTTCTGTACAATTTTTATGGGGAAAATATGAAAGGAAAATTTTTAATGTGATTTGAATAAAAATTTACTGTATTTTTCTAATTAATTTGAGTGTGGAAGGGCATTTCGAAACGGACCCGAACTTACTTTACATTACGAAACCCTCGCTCAGAATTAGACAGATGAATGTATACATATTGAAATTTTACACATATATATAACAAAAACAGATTTAAAAAAAACTATCTTTTTTATCTGTTAAAAATAGTAAAGTCGAGCGAGAAATGATATTTATTGTTTCTTCTCAATAAAAAATCTATCATCGTCTCATTTATAATAGATTGTTTTCTCATCGTAAATACTATTATTTTATTCTATAGACCAGTCATGAGCAACCCGCAGTTCTAGGGCTGCCAACGTAATTTTATTTTCCTGTTTTCTATCTCGTGCCGTTATGCAAATTGGAATATGTTATTTAGTAGCCTCCTTAGTGTATTGGCGGTTATGGTACTGTAAATGTTGATGCTCGACAGACTTAAAACCTGCAACTTCATGAGAGAAAATGTATGCGGCCCGTCGTTAAGATAAGAAGTTTCTCTCCAGGAAAGGTTACTCATCACTACTGTAGACAATCTTTGAATCCATTTGTATTTTATATATAGAAGGAATGTGTTTTATTGATGTAGGCCTAAATATGATCATACCTTAATCCATGTAATTGTATTTTAAACGATGCAAAGAACGAAAAACTTATTTGAATTAAATCTTAATTCTTACACATATAATTTCTTTCTTGTATTCATAAAATTAATAAATCATTTCTATATTTTTATTTAAGATAGGAAAAATCGGAGATGATCCTTTCAAAAACGATCTAGTAATTGCTGAATATACAAGCTCTCAGTTATTCAGGTCACTTCGAAAGAAGCCTAAGATGACGGAGTAAGTACAGTATTTTAGTTATAAATATTTATAAGTTCTAATTTCATTTAAAATTATTTTTAATTCTAGTTGGTCAGTAATGCCTCTAACAGTAAATGCTGCTTATGATCAAAATCAAAATTCTATCAGTAAGTATTAATTGAAAAATATATAGATGTTATATAGAGTTGTATTTAATAAACGAATTCGTTTCCCAGCTGTTCCATTAGGAATTTTACAAATTCCTTTCTATAACAGGAAATTGCCAAAGTGAGTCGTTTAATATAATTTTAATTTAAGTATAAAGATAATTTCTGGATAAAAAATGTATTTCCAGGTATTTAAATTATGCGGCGATAGGTGCAATTATTGGGCATGAAATGACACATGGATTTGATACTAAAGGTAGACGTACCTGTACTTTTTAAAATGTATACTGTACAAAATTTAATTAATTCTTCTAATAAATTCATATTACAAATTTAGGAAGAGAAAGAAATGCAGAAGGAATTAATATTAACTGGTGGTCAAATAAATCTAGAGAGGAATTTACTAAAAGAACCCAATGTTTTATTGAACAATATAATTCCTACGGAGTAAGAAAATTTTTCGGGTTTTACATTAAATAATTAAATTTAATTATTTAATATTTTAATTATTTGACTTTTTCAGATTAACGGAATACAAACTTTAGCTGAGAACATTGCTGATAATGGTGGAATTAAATTAGCTTATTCGGTAATAACAGTTTTTATTTAAAAATGATTCAATATTTATTCAAAACTTATGATTAACGAGCAATTATTTATTGTGACATCACAATCGTCACAATGCTCTCAATTTTAGTAGTGTTTTGCCCCTGTACTGTACATCAAACTTTTCCTGTTAACAATAAGGTCATCCCTGTCATCTGTCTAACTTTGTTCAGGAGAAAATTTTTGAATTGAAATAGCATGACTTCCGATGAAAATTGGACGTTAACTATTAAAAATCACTTTTTTATATTCCATGATATAATAAGATTATAATATGCATAAGACATAAAATTATTTATTAAAATATGTTTGAAATTTAATTAGAATCTTTCGTATTTAAAAAAAAAATAATTATGTTTTTCTTTTTAAATAAATATTTCCTTCAAAGGCATACAAGAAATTAAATGATAATCAAGAACCGTTAAAAGTTTTGCCGAATTTTCAAACTTATACTTCGGATCAGCTATTTTTCTTGTCATATGGCTCGGTAAGTTAGATTATTATCTATTTCAAGTTTATTTAATACTTTGAACATTAAATACAGTTAAATTTTCAATACATAAAAAAAACATCTTTATTTTTAGATGTGGTGTACTCAGTATAATCAAATTGGTTGGAATCTTATAAACAAATTAGATCACAGTCCTTCAATTTATAGGTATTTTTAATAAATTAAAACACATTTACACTTATTTGATGTATTATTTATTTGTAATTTATTTATTTAATTATACAATCGAAAACACTTGTTACGTTTTCAAATGCTATTTTGTACGTATGATAAAAATTGAAATATTTATAAATGTTTGCAGAGTTATGGGCTCTTTATCTAATATGAAGGAGTTTTCAGAAGCTTTTAAATGTAAAAAGAATGACAAAATGAATAGCAGGAAGAAATGCTCAATATGGTGATTTTCGTTATCTTCGATATTTTTTTTCTCTTGAAAGACAGAATCGGTTTATCTTTTTATGCTTTTATTGTGAGATAAAAGGAATATTTTGTTCAATGTTATTTTCATATGAAAAATATTTATAAGGAGAGAATTCATACGTTTTTCTTGTTAGCTAACATATATATATTTTTTTCATTTATTGTATATATTTGTTGTTATAAGCAAAATATTCCTATTTATCCAACTAAATATAAATTACATTTAAATAATAATTTATGCGTTATACAGTATAAAACTTGTTGGATACTTATTTGTTTAAGTATTTTATTTCTCAAAGAACATTTATGTAATATAAAGTACTGTATTTATAAATTTTAAAAAGTTTTTAAATTTAACAATTGTTTAAATCGTTAGTAAATTAAATAAAAATAAATTATTTTAAAATAGAATTAAAATAAATCATTATTTTTTTAAAAAAGCCAATTTTGTTTTTGATTTTCTTTTAATAAAACAATTATGCCTTTATTATAATTAGGATGTTTATTTTTTAAAAACATAATAAACTTCGTATAATTAAAATATTACAATAAAAAAATATCAATATGTGTCATTTGCATAAAATATTAGATTGATTGAGTTAAGTAATTTATTTTCATGACTGACAAATCTTTGTTTAGATGTTTAAAAGATGCACGTCAAGAAAGATGTAATTGTTTCTTATTTGTTCGTAGCAATTAACAATGCATAAAATACAGTTTTTTTTTTGCCCTTTGCATTACTAATGGAAAATTTATTTTAATAATGAATTGCAAAGAATTTAATGAAAGCACATCATAAAACACACTGCAATGTAAATTAATTTTAAAGTAGACGATGAAAAAATTCCTTAAACTGAGTTGGTTGGTATAATGTTCTAGCACAATGGCTGATCCAAGTCAAAAGATGGTGGTTTGTTTTCCTCTATTAACGGCACTTTAGGAGTTTAGTTTGTATTATAATGGAAAAGCGATGATGATAACAAAATGTACGGTACGTTTTCAGCGAATGCATTGTAACTGTTATATATATATACAAATGAAACCTAAAATAAAATATCTTTATCTTCGTGAACGTTTATTATTTTATTTCTATAACATTTATGGTTATCCATTGTGTACTTAGATTCGCCTACATTTGTTTCTAAAATAAAGTATTGATTTTTGCCCTGTTGATAGTTGTAAATGTAAATTCTAAGTTTGATAAACGAATTCATGAAAGTTTTATAAGTTTTCGAAATAGCTATCTAAACCATTGTTTCTCAACGGGGGCGATATCGCCTCCATGTGGACGTTTTTCCATGTTGAGGGGGCGATTAGTAACAATTTATATTTTGGAGGGCGAAAAACAATTTTCTGGGCGATATAGTAAAACATTATATTAAGATTAATTAAATATTTTATTCGTTATATCGTAAAACAATTAAACAAATAACATTACACTAGTCACTAGTCTATTCAATGCAATTTGGCGTTAGCCTTGGCCCACTGCATCGGAATTTTGAAGTGAAGGGGGCGATACTACGTAACGGTTTTATTGAAGGGGGCGACGATTCGTTAAAGGTTGAGAAACACTGATCTAAAGTAATAATAGAGCTCTATATAAAACAAACCTTCTTAAACTATGTGTCATGACCCCATTTGGGATCGTGTAACACAGCGTTTCTCAACCTCTAACGAATTGTCTCCCCTTTAATAAAACCGTTACGTAGTATCATCCCCTTCACTTCGAAAAAATCCGATGCCGATCAAGCCTCAAAATTCCGATGCCGAGGGCCGAGGCTAACGCCGAAATTCGTATTGCATTGAATAGACTAGTGACTAGTGTAATGTTATTTGTTTAATTATTGTACGATATAACAAATAAAATATTTATTTATCTAATTATTCTTAATATAATGCTTTACTATATCGCCCAGAAAATTGTTTTTTGCCCCCTAAAATATAAATTGTTACTAATCGCCCCCTCAACATGGAAAAACGCCCACATGGGGGCAATATCAACCCCGTTGAGAAACACTGATTTAGACCAATGCTTAAAGTCTAGCCAAAATATAGCCTGAAGAAATCTACGTTTTTTTGATACTTGATTACAAATTAAACTTTACAATTTCTGATTATAAAATTGTATATTTCAAAGACATTTAAGTAATTTTTTTAAAACTTAATTTTATATTAAAACCACTTTAGTTATAAATTAAAAATTTTAAACATAGACTTATTTCTAGTCAAATGATAACCTGAAGAAATGTGGCTTTTAGTTATTTGATAAGTTTGCTGATATGAATTTAAAATCTACTATTTTCTTTATTTTCTTTTATTAATTCCTAAAAATATGTATAAAAAATTATACCTACCCTCAAAACAATTTCTTTAATAATTGAAACATATAAAATTGATTGAAAATGATCTTAAATGTTGAAGAAATCACAAAGGAACTGGAGGAAGAACTTAAAAGATAAATAATCCTCCACATTTAAAATTACTCCAGCAATTGTAATATATATTACAATTGCTGGAGTAATTAATAGGTTAGAGAGATTATACATAACAATATTTTGATGATTTAACCATACTTTTTTGATTTTACATTAACATTTGAGATCATAATCCACATTTTAAAATTATTCTAGCAGGTATTCTTAATAATTAAAAATGTTTTTTAAAACCCAGTTGATGGATCTTCATCAGTTGTAGAACATTCAATCATAATTAAAAAACAAATACAGTATGTAATATATATTTGTTTTTTTGTTTGTTTGTGTCATTGTGTCAATTAAAATATATTTGTTTTTTAATTGTGTAATATATATATATATACATACATACATACAGTCAACCCCCTATAACGTGGGTTCCTATAACGGAAATTCCTATAATGTAGCGAAAAAATTGCGGCAGTATTCGTATAAAGGGACTCGTAAAATGTCGTCGCCGACTCGTGTCGCAACAAGATTGGTAGAATCTGGACCAATAATGGATGAGCAGCAAAACTACTTTCCGCCATCCAGTGCCACACTACGGAAAGTTTAGGCGGGTAAATTGAGTTTGCTATCGTCCGTACAGTATTATATATAAATTATATATAAATTAGCAAAAAACTTACTAATACACCTTATCTTGCAGCCGAAGTTTATAAGAAAAACTTTCTAACGTTTTCGGTCTTGTTTAAAGACCTTTCTCAAGAAAAATAAAGCAAACAAAATAACAAAACGTAAATCGAACGCTTAGTACAACGAACAAGTTTTTCGAATATTTTCGAACTAGCTTATAATCCGTTGCAATTTATAACGTCATTGTGAACTTAGCAACGGAAGTATAAAAATCCTAAAGATTACATAAATATCTAAATACAAATAATTAATTTATATATAAATTAGGTGTTGTACATATAATTATATATTAATTATATATAAATTAGGTACTGTATATATAATTATATATTAATTATATATACAGTATATATATTAATTTATATATTAACTTAATTTATTGTAACTTTATTATAATTATATATATACTTTCCGCCGTCCAGCGCCACGCTACGGAGAGTTTAGGCGAGTAAGTTGAGTTTACTATTGTCTGTACAGTATGTAAATTAGGTACCATAAGTCTAATACAGCACTAATTTTATACATTTCTTGTGAAAAACATTTTTTATTCAATGGACATAAAAATTATTTCTATTAATGATGTCTCCAAAGGTCAACGAATTTTTTGCAGAAAAATAATTTATCAGAAAATGCGGCCGCCGTTTGGTGCGCTGCTCCACGACGAAAACAAGCGTAAGCAACGGCGTAGTCGAACGGTGCACACTCGGCAAGTAATCCTACAATTTTTTGTTTATAGCATAGTTTATACGGATTATTCCCAAAAAATTATACGTGTTTTGAAAATGTTGAGTCGAATTGGTCTAGAATCGGTTAATTTTATAGAAAAAAACCTTTCAAACAGCCTTAGTCCGTAAACTTCACACGTGTCGGGCTGTGATTGGCTCATGTATTTAAGGATTCCTACAATGTAAAATTCTTATAAAGTGGAACGTATCTAAGCGTTATAGGGGGGTCTACTGTATATTACACAATTAAAAAACAAAATAATATATTTTAATTGACACAATGACACAAACAAACAAAAAAACAAATATATATTATATATTTGTTTTTTAATTATGATTGAATGTTCTACAACTGATGAAGATCCATCAACTGGATTTTAAAAAACATTTTTGATTATTAAGAATACCTGCTAGAATAATTTTAAAATGTGGATTATGATCTCAAATGTTATGTAAAATCAAAAAAGTATGGTTAAATCATCAAAATATTGTTATGTATAATCTAGAAATAAACAAAAAATTATGATATTTTATGTATGAATGAGAAGTAAATAATACACTATCTGTCCAAAAGTATCCGGACAAAAAAAGTGGATCTGGTAGGTGATAGTCTCTGATGTGTAACCGAAAGGTATAAAATGTTGGTAGTGGTTTGTCAAGTCATATTTATGCGTTTGTGAGACAATGAGTAAGTCAAAGGAGCTTAGTGACTTTGATCATGGCATTATAGTGGGATGCCACCTTTGTGGGAAATCATTTCGTAAAATTTCAGACATTTTACAGAAACCAAAATCCACTGTGGGTGATTGTGAAGTGAAAACATCAAGGCAGTGAAAGTGGAAAAAATGACGTGATAGGCCGAACAAAATTAGTGAATGCAGTTTTGTAGAACTCTGAAAAGGGTAGTGAAACAAAATCACACACCCTCGTTGGTTGAAATCACTCTGGAGTTCCAAAGATCATCAGGCATTAGTATTAGCACCAGGACTGTTCATCAAGAGTTAAAAAATCTGGGATTCCATGGTTGTGCAGCCGCTTACAAGCCGAACATCATTCTCCAGAATGTGAAGCATCGATTGCAATGGTGCAAAGCTCACTGTCATTGGACTGTGGACATGTGGAAAAGTATTCTTTGGAGTGATGAATCTC